TGCAGCAGGAAGACATGATTCTAGTTGTTAATATACCTCATTAAACACGTGAAACAAAAACTGACAGAACTCAAAGGGAGTGATAGACAAGTCTACATCATACTTGGACATCTTCATACTCTGTCTCTATAATTAATAGAAATGGGAAAAAGCAAGAATAGAGAAGATAGGCTGTTTATAAAATTATTCCTTACCCTAGGGTCATGATGATTCTGTATTAGATTCTAAAAGCTTTTATTTTTTCCCCTTTCACATTTAAATTTGAAAACTATTTGGAACTGATTGCTGTGAATTTGGTAAGGGTCAAATTTATTTTTTACCATTTGGAACCTTAGTTGAAGTCCATCCTTTCCAGTGTGCAGTTACATATAAAACTGTGTGTGTGTGTGTGTGTGTGTGTGTGTGTGCGCGCACGCGCTAATAGCAGCCCCCACCAGCCCTGATCTCTTTGTCATTCTCTGTGCCCAAAACAAAATGTTTTAGTTATACTTAGGGTTGTATGGTACCTGGTCTTGCTATCTGGTAGGGCAAATCTTAGCATTGGTGTTTAATGACTTTTTTCTTCCCAGTCATTCTACCTCTCACTTGCTTTCCTCATCTCATTGTCATGGCTAGCATCCCCAACACAGTGTTGAATAATAGAAGTGATGATCTGGGGCATGCTTATCTTATTCATAATCTCGAGGGAAGGTTTTCAGTATTTTAACGCATGTATTATATTTGCTGTAGTCTGTCGGTATACTTTTTTTTTTTTCCCGGTACCGGGAATCGAACTCATGACCTTGTGCTTGCCAGGCAAGCGCTGTGCCGCTGAGCTAAATCCCCAGCCCCTGTTGGTATACTTTAATAAATTAAATGTGCTCCCTGGAAGTCCTAGGTTGCTAAAAAGTTGAATTTTTGAAAATGCCTTTCCTATAGCTATTGAATTTTCCTTTAATTTGTTGGTGTGCTGAATCACAATCAAGAATAGTTATAATGCTAAAAGCTGCAATTCACAATAAAAATATGATATTTCAGAATATCTGTGGACATAGATTAACATTATACAATAAATAAGGCAATTACCTTTATAGAGTAGAAACTACAGTCGATTAATCAAAAGAAAGAGAAACACAGTAATAACTTCAACATAATGTTGCAGATATCTCAAATGATAGCAATATACCTGCTGGTTAATTTTTTTGTTTTTAACAGTGTAACAGAGCACACTGTTATGGTTTGGGCATGGTTGAAGTGTGTCTCTCAAGAGTTTCTGTGCTGCAAGTCTGCCTCCAGTGTGGCATGTTGAGGTAGTGGGACCTACCTTAAGAGGTGGAGCCTAGAGAACGGCAATTAGGTCACTGCGTGCACTACCTGTAGAAAGGGCTAGTGCTGGTCTCTTGGACAGTTCCTGTGAGAGCAGTTGGCTAAAGAGGATGACCTGCTGCACAGTGGGTTCCTTCTGTATACTGCTGTTCCTTCTGCTCCTCTTCCGTGTTCTGATGGAGCCACCTCTAGAGGCCAAAGAGATGGGGCTGCTCAGTCTCGGACTTTCAGCCTCCAAAACTTTTTTCTTTGTGAAGTACTCCACTTTAGTTATTTTGTTATAGCAACAGAAAATATATGAAGACATTCATATAACAAAATTTACTATCTTAAGTATTTAAAATGTATAGAGTAGTACTAGCTACACTTATTCTACTCACCATTATCATTATCATCCATTTCCAGAAAAAGCAAAATTAAAACTGTATATCCATTAAATAATAACTCTCCATATGAATTTGACCACTATGGGTACTGCATATAAATGGAATGATACAGTCTTTTTGTGACTGGCTTAGTTCATTTAGTATAATACAATGTCCTCATGGTTCATCTATGTTGTATCATTTATTAGAATTTTCATCTTTTACATAATTTTATTGCATGTGTATAGTACATTTTCTTATCCATCTGCTTATGGACAATTAGGTTGTATACACGTTAGCTATCGTGAATGATGCTGCTATAAACATGATGTACAACTATTGTTTTAAGACCTTTAAATTTGGGGGGAAATATACTCCCAAGTGGAATTTCTGAGTAATACGATAATTTTATTTTTATTTTTTTGAAACTGTCATACTGTTTTCCTCAGTAGCTTCCATTTTACCTTCCCAGCAATAGTGCCCAATTTCTTTACATCCTTACCTACATGTTTCCTATTTTAAAGCATAGCATACATTCTAATAGATGGTATGATGTTATCTGATTGTAGTTTTGATTTGCATTTCCCTCATGATTAGGATACTGGACATGTTTCCATACAATTATTGGTAATTTGAATATTTTCTTTCAGGAAAAGTCCATTCAGGCCTTTTGCCCATTTCTGCACTAGGCTGTTTTGGTTTTCAACTTTCATGAAGTAAAAATTTTCTATTGTACTGATTTATATAGTCTTTGTGTTGTGTACCTTTGGTGTGATACCCAAGAAATCACTGGCAAATTCCACGTGGTGAAAACTTTGTCCTCTGTTTTCTCTTTTTATAATTTAAGCATTTATGTTTAGGTCATTGATCCATTTGGAGTTAATTTTTTATGATATAAAGTAAGCCTCCCAATTCATTCTTTTGCATGTGAATATCTAGTTTTCTCAGCATTGTTTTTTTTTTTTTTTTTTTTTTTTTTTTTTTTTTTTTT